GCTGACATTCTGAATAGCACTGGGATTCTAACATTCTGACTAAAACTGAACTATCATGCAGCTAACTAAGATCTCAATTCATACTAACAACATGGGAATCCACAACATTGATAGAATCAAGCTACAGGAAATAACTAGTTCGATATGCAAGAATTCACTTAACTGAGAAACTAGGGCTAAATCATTCTTCAAGATGTTGGTTTCCACAAAATTTCTAAATATTGGGAAATATAGCTACTAATATCATGACTGATATTCCACTAGAAGTTTATAGAATTCTGTCTAAAAACCTTCCACAATTCGAATCCACGGGGCTATAACTGACAAGAAAATTTAGAGAAAATTTTAGGGACAAGAATCAATATAGTCATAATCTAATGGAATCATATCTAAAATTAACATGAATAACATTATTCATGAATTTAATGAAGTCCGACATATAATTTCTTCACATTCAAAAGTTCAAGAGTAGAATTGATAAAGAAACTAGGAGGGATTTTGGGGACACAAGGGAAGAACTATTCCCTTGTTGAATTTCCACATACCTTGCTACGAATTCCTTGGAGAATAAAACTTGAATCGTTGTAATAGATGAGAATCCCTAGTCTTTCTTGAGAGTTATTGAGAGGAAAACTTACATTATTTTTTGAAAAATATGAGTGGGAATGAGGGGAAAACCATTTAACCCCTCTAAATCCCCTTAAAATAATCCAAAGTGATGTAGTTTAGAGTCAAGGAGGTTAGGAAATTACGGAAACACCCTTAGGAAATTCGCTGGAAAAACTGATTTCCAGTCCCCACGAGGGACCCAACGACTCATTCCATGTGACCACGACTTGTGGTCACGATCATCGGGTGCACTTCCAAAAGCCTCTTGTTGGTCACCACGACTCATAGTGTACCCAATGGATCGTGGTGACCCACTCGTCAACTACACTGCTAAATTCTTAACTCCTCAAATTATCCTGGACCATGGGTTACCTAACGGGTTGTGGCATGGACCACGACTCATGGTGACTAGTTGTTAAGTTCACTGCCTAATTGTCCCCCGATCTTCAATCAATTACAGGCCACAGATCACCTCAAGACTGGTGGTGTTGACCATGACTCGTGGTCACACCCGTGGTCACCCCATTATTTTCCAATTTTTTCTACCAAGTTCGGACTCTTCCCCCATGAGTCATTTCACGACTCGTGGCCTGCCCCATGGGTCACAAGATGACTCATTCTGTGATCTGGTGTAAAAAATCCTATTTTCTCCATTTCAACTCTCAAGTCTGGTCTAAGGGTTTACGTGATATTACAACAATGCACTGTATAAAATTGTAAAATACTTGCAAAACATAGTTTTAGAAGAAAAAATCTAGTCCTTACACTTACGATGAAGAGGTGTATTGAATAATACATATGGACATGATCAAGTTCTCAAACCTAGACAACTATTGGATTGAAATAAGTGGAAGGTGAATCCCTACCACTAATTAAGTTGGCTTACAAATCTTACTTGTTCAAGAAAACCTAGCCATCCAGTGAGTTGCAATAAATGGGAGGTAAGACCTACATAAATTGAAACAAGCTTAACTGTAACACCCCAAAAGTTCCTTACACCAAAACCAAACTTGGAATGAAAAACCAGAAAATTTTATCTCATAATAACTCAACTAACGAGTCATTATCAGTAACAATGATCCCTTGTTTGAGTCATTGTTCACCTTTACGAATTCCTTCACTAGATTCAATAACCAATACAATGCCCCGTTGCTGCAAGTAATGAATCATTATTTTATCCATTGGTAATAATCTATAAATCTATCAAGTATGTCTTCCAAACAATGAACCAGAAGACGAGTCATTGATTTGTATCACGACTGATCGTAGGGAGCCATTAGATGAAATTCAGAAAGGGTTAGAAATCCCTCTAGTGACAATGATTGGAAACAATGACCCATTATTTTGGATGATGAGTCATTTTGTCCGTCCGTTGGGGGATATCCAGAAGCTATTGAAAACTCTCCCAGTAAAAATGAGTGGAACCAATGACTCATTGTCCCATCTAACGAGCTGTTGTTCCCATCCGTTGGTCAAGTCCAGCAACTGAAATTTTCTAACTCAAGACCAATGATTGGTCCCAACGTTTCTTCTACAGGTATATGGGGATTTAGCGGGGGTATTCATTTCACCCTTGTGCCCCAAAGTTTCAGCAAAGCCTAGCCATAAAGTATTTCTAGAAATCATGATCTAGGGATTTTCTTTAGACTTTTCAATTTTTCCTACTTTCTCTATTATGTTAGGCTTGCATGATTAGAATTGTTAAATGCTTAAGACAGTAATTTCAGCTATACAATATGTCTCACTTGAACTTGGACTTGGCATGATTTTTCATAGAAGTGTACTTATAAACTAGCAATGTTTTAAAATAGCATGAATTGTCACATATATAGGACTTTCTCGTTGAGAGGTGCAAATATGCTTTACAGTAATTTTCATCATCTCCAGTATGCCCAGTCGTAGTAATATTGTCAGTACTCAGTATATTCAATAGTATCAATTCATCAGCATATTCGTTGTTCTTTAGACTCTCATGGTACTTTTAAATGAAGCAGCTCTGACAAGTCTTAGAACACAGTTTCTTTCAGTACCTTAGATCTTAGAGCACTTCCTGATAAGTAGTTCTGACTTATTCTTAGGACATTAGTTTCGAGCTATCAACACATTTAGATATAAATAGGTTTTCAGTGGGAGTAGTACTTAGCACCGAGCGAGCCAAGGTTCAATGCACCCAAATTATCATAACTACATGCACCGTAGGTTATTAGTCCGAATGCGCCCCAAATAGTGATAACACAGCTCATCCACTATACCCTCGCAAGGTATAGTGGGCTTTTTTAAATGGCGTGTATACATCAAACTCCACATCTAGCTCACGTGGTTAGATGCCGCTTAGAGTCTCTTCTACAGTCCAGTACAATCAGAGTTCTCAATCTATTCTAGTCTATCATATTTTAGAATACGCTCATGACTCTAATTGAGTTTATTAGTTCTCATAATATTCCCATATATGTCAAACTATTTGAAGTATTTTTGATTTTAGTTAGAGTCGTTGCATGTTATTTTAGTTCAGTTTACGAGTCCTCAGTATATGTATATTTTATTTACATCTCACATACTCAGTACATTCCATGTACCCGGCCTCAACATTGCAGTTAGTTCCTCTCGGTGATTTCCAACAGTCTGACAGTGATAAGTCCTCTTCTTCCGAGGGCTGGAGGTTTTATGTTCAGCTTTGTTATTTTAGTTTTAGTTTCAGGCATTAGAGTTAGCTAAGGCTTATCCCAGCAACTCATCTTTCTAGTAGAGGCTTCAGATAGATAGTCAATTATTATGTCAGTTTGGTGTTTTAGTATCACATTTCATATGTATTCGCTTACTAAGATTACTTTGTACTTAGAACCAGTTGTTCCATTATTTCAGTTATGCTTCCACTTAATATTATTTCTCAGTAGATTAGTCTTAATAGAATTATGTTTTGTCATGGGTTTACTTGGGGTCACTTATGATCTTAAGTACCATATCATGTATAGGGTATAAACTCGGGTCCTGACATTAACATCTTGCGACGTCTACATAGGGTGAAGTAAGATTAGAAACCTCACTAAAATTAGGAGGAGAGAATGAAATAAGATTAATATCTTACTGAAGTTAGATGGGTAGAAGTTAGAATCTAGATCATGGACTAGATCATGGGGGAAAAACTGTAAACATAAGAGTTGTTCTTAAGGGGAAAGATACATAAGAAGAGAAAATCAAGATTCACGAAGTTGGAAGAGTGCAATGAAGAAGTATGAAGCTACTATGAGCTTGTCATAAAAAAATGGAGAATTTATTAAGCTACTTTGATCTAAATCTTCATCATTCAAGATCATATGAAATTTTGATGATTCAGAAACATTGAACAAATGCTAATATATGCACAAGAAAGATGGAAAAAGAAGTAAAAGAACTAGGTCCTTATCATATCTCCAAAAAGATCTGGTGACGCTGGCAACAGTGTAGAGAAATTACTAAGAGAACCTATTCCTTCAAGTAAGAACTAGAGAGTGCTTGGTCTACATAGGATAAGTTATTCCACACGCATAAAAATAAATCTTGAAAATACGAATCAAGGACTAATATAATTTTACAAGGATCATATCCTCAAGACATGAAAATATTGTCATGATTGTACACATAAAATTATCTTGGAATTAGAAGAAGTTGGCTGACTCCAGGCTAAGTCAAAAAAGAAATGATTTCTTAGAAAGTCTTGAACCAATTCTTAATCGGATTTGAAGAAATATAAACAGCTATCTTACTCTTATAAAGCATCACTTTAATGCATTATAGACTGACCACATACAAAGAGAGAATACAAAGTTAGAAAAAAGTCTCTACGAGAGTCTTAAAAGGAAGAGTCAACTTCTGCCATGAAGAACATATTCCTATCAAGTATTATCATTACTTCTTTGATAATAGTTAGATTCCTATAATTCATAAACTATATATTTTTTTTACATTCCTAGTGACTTGTTAAAGGTGTTGATTTTGTATTGAGCTATAAAGGGACTTATTAGACTGGATAGAGTCTTTGAAATGTTGGAGAGTTTCCAACAATTAGGGAGGATTATTGATTATCGAGGTATGTCTATTAGAGTAAGTTTCTAAAATATACAAAGGAGTTATAACCTTAAAAGTTGCTCATGTTATAGTGGAGAGTTTGGAAAAATCCTAATTGGAGATAGATCATAGTTTTTGTCTCCCTTTGAGCGAGAAGTTTTTCATGTAAAAATATTTGTATTGATTTACTTTTCTACACTTTTCTTGTATAATTATTTAAAAAAACCTAGTTCTTTGAATTGGTAGGTCCCCCTTTGACACCAAGGGATAAGAGCTGATTGTTGGCGATGACTTGGTGAAGGGAATCCTTTTTCTTTACAGTCGTATCTACTGTGATAAGAAAGCGCTCTTAGTTCAGTTCGGTAGAACGTGGGTCAAAAGCGGCAGACTGTAAATCTGTTGAAGTTTTTCTACGTAGGTTCGAATCCTGCTTTCGAATTCGATTTATTTTGATAGAAAGAAGAACCAGAATTGGTCCTGGGTCGTATCGTTGAGGTCATAGAAAATTAAAAAATACAATCTTGATATGAATAGTATAATGAGAAGGCTTTAGGGATCAATAAAAAAGTAAAGTAGTGAAGTACGTTGTGGAATAAAATACCAATCAAAATGAGAAAGGGAGCAAATGAAGAGGTAAGACAATCAATAACAAATTGAGGAATCATACAAGGGCTCCTGACTAAAGGATCAACATGACAGATTCCAGGAGTGTTATCTTTAACATCCAAATCAAGGACCCAAAATGAATTTTCGACGAGCCCGCTTATTTAACTAGACTTGTTTATTAATCCTATTATGCATTCTTAAATGATTTCGTATTAATCATAGGCTGCATTCCTTGATAAAACTCTGATTTACTCTTTTTTATATCTCTTCAACCCATGAAAATTAATCTCCTATACCTATGAAAATATATTCCTTACACCATGCACCTAAACCTTAAACAAGATCTATAATTTGATTACATTGGGTTTTCACTATTATGCTTATTTGAAAACTACCAAGCTAAATTATTGGGTGGTTATACTTATCAAAGAAAATTTGAGGCACAATATTTTTACGAAAAGATGATAGTCATCCAATTATTTAATCTTATAAACCTTTAATTATTAATATATTCTTCTTACAAATTTATATCCTCTGTGGTCTTTATTCTTTCATCAAAGTTTTACAGAATTTCTTCCATTGAGAAATTATCAAAATTTAAACATCTGATATTTTATAACTACTATTGTTCAATCTCTTTTTAGGTTTGATTCTAGTTGAAGAGAACTTTTCTTGAAACAAATATTACACTTATTTTCAAAGTAATCATAGCATAAAGTAAATGATCGAATAGCCAAATGGACATCTGTATTTGTACCGATTTGATATTCAGAAACTTTAACTTCACAAAATTTCATCAAAACCCTTTAACTTACTCAAGAAACTCTTCTAAATTCCTCTAACTGTTGTCCAGGCTTATGTGGCTTTGACATGGCTGATTCAACAAAATGCGTGCAATACACTTATCTAAGGAGAGTGATATAATGATTTTGATTTAAAATAATACATAAAATTAGAAAGAAAATAAGAATCAAAAGAATTGAAAAGAATAAAGTTAAAAGAAAAAGAAAAAAGTTATTTTTGTGCCTCCAACCTTACCACCTAATCTCTAACCATTTTGCTCTACCTCCCACCACCTCTTCTTTATCACTGCCTCATTCCAGTATAAAGCTTCTCCACCTTTCAGCATTAAAATAAACCACTTAATTACACCATTTTGACCCTTTCAACTCTCCACCACCAAAATAATTCCACAACCCTTTCATCTTTTTGGCCTGTCGGCGGCTCTACTGTTGTAGGTACCAGTCCCTCCACCCCTTTTATAGCCAAAAGTTGTGTAATCATCAATCCATAATTCAAGATCCTTTTCTAACCACCAAGACACTTATAATCTGATATCATTGATGTAACAAATAGTATATTTTAAAACGGCTAACCGCCTAAGTGGAAGACATACGAATTAAAGTTTTTTATTTTTTGCACTTTACATTGCCTGGCGATGACAAGTCAGGAGGTTAAGGTTGAAAATGGATGTTCATATATAGTAATTGATATATAAATATGGTTGAAGAATTAAATCAAAGAATTAGATCAAACTAATCCTTAAACAAAGTTCAAGTTAAAAGAAATGCCTCTTGGAGAATCCTCAAGTGATTCGGAATATGCCATGACTTTTAAGGAGCATATCTCCAAACATATTAGGATTTAGAGGGTGTCAAATAAAATTTCTTTGACTTTAATCTTCGGTAAAATAAATCGCTCGTCAATTCAAGCTATATATAAAAAAGTTATGCTAGTTGAAGGCAACACTAGCAGGAGGAAATACGACGACTGAGTCATGCCCACTTGAGTTAGTTTGAGTACCTTTAAAAGGAAAGCTCTTGTCCAAATTCATTATATTCAATCAGAATTTATAGAAAATTAAGCTCTCTATCTCTCCTACCGAAGTTTAAGTCTCAAGGTAAGAAATCCAACAATCCGGGCAATATTTCATTATCTTTCAAATTCGGAAAGTGTTTCTTTTATTGTGAGCTTCGTGGTAATGTTAATTTTATATAATTCTAATGTGGTGATCATTGAAGGGATGTAGAATCTTGTAAAAACATGAGGGTATGAGTGGGTACGCATGGTAAGTTTTATATCGACCCTCTCTTTATCTATAAATCGAATTCTATCAATTTTTATCATTGTTTGAACCATGGGTGTCACGAACTGAGTCTACACCCTGGCTGTAACACAGGACGTAGAACCATGAATGGCTCTAAGCTAATCCATGGTATAACATAATTCTACATAAAATAAAAACTAATAAAGTATATCTGAATGGAAGCTAATTAAAAGATAACCGATCATTATGCATAAGGACATATTTGCTAAAAACACTGAGTCATAAGAAAACACTACACTACACTGTCTGAAAGCCTCTACTAATCTAATGAGATGTGGGGACAAGTCCCCAGCTAACTCTAAATTTTGAAACTAGCATAATAATGAATAAAGAAATATAACTCCCATCCTTGGAAGATGAGGACTCACTCCTACCAGGTGATAGAGTCTGGAACGTGTCTAACCACGGATTGATCCTGAACACCTGGATCTACATCATAAAACAATATTGAATAGACAGTATGTAGCCAGTACTTTGAATGTACTGAGTATGCAGGATAGGTAAAATGTGATAGCAGAATAGTGAACTAAAATTATGAGTATAAGATCATCTAAAACATGAGATTCCAATCATAACTGAACATAATGGCTCATGCTTTCCAAAACTATTTCATAAAGTTGGACATGACTGAAATCATAAGTCAAATCTCAAAAAGTGTGTATTGAGCAAAAATATCATAAGTCATAATATCATGAGGCATAAACATGAACATGTGTATAAAATCTTAGAATAGTGGGAGATTCTTATAACTGACATACTCGATGTAAGCAGACATGGAGCCCGACCTGTAACCCTGATCGAAAGGGTGTTCATACATTGCTAAGGGTAGAACCATAAAATGGTGTCATATCACTCATGAATGTCCCATTTGGGTGTGGGAGACTCTCGTGGAGGATCCCATCATGGCTATGGTGGCACATAGTTCTGAGACCTGTGTGTGCTGAAACCCTAATATACTCAGTGTTAAATACTACTCCCAAAACATATATAGTGCTCATATCATAATCATAAAATATGAGTTTACATAGGCTAGTTTAAATCATGAAATTTATATACATTTGGTTTACGTAAACTAGCCATGAAAAACAATGTCGAAGATCGGCCATGATATAAAATCTTGATATTCATGAAATTCATGCATAATTGGGGTAAATTATCATAACATGAAAATAAAGATTTGTGAGGGATTTTAATAGAAATCATGTAATTATAATCATAAAAAATAAATAGAATCATAAGAGATCATAGTGTTTTTCATCAAAAACGAGACGAACCCCAGAAATTCATGAAAATCATAGTTGGAGACTTGAAGGAATTAAAATCATATAATTAATCTTGGGATTGGGTATGAGTATGGAATGAATCTCTCATTCATGGCCCTACATACCTGGGCTTTGATGAATTTTTTCTTAGACATGAGACCTAGGAGAGTTGAGAGGAAGAAGAATCTTAGTTGCTTGAGAGCCTTTAGAGGTTTGATCTTCAATCTATGGTGTTTGGGAGAGGAATAAGAGTTTAGGCTAAGTAAAATCCTCTACTACACACTTTAAGAAGCCTGAAATGACCTAGTTTAGGAAGTAAAAGTATAAAAATTTATGAAAATACCCCTAAAGAATCGCACTTAAAAATCTATTTTCCAGTTGTCAGGGGTCGTACCATGACTCGTGGTGACATGCCATGGGATGTGGCGTGCAATTCGTGGCTTTTGGATGGCTTAACAGCTTGCAGAAACTCTAATCACAGTTCCTTGGTATGATTTATACCTAGATACCATGAGTCGTACCATGACTCATGGTGACTGGGCTAGGCCTGTTCGTCAAACCTGACAGTGTTTCACTAAACTGGCCATAACATTTTACTCTGAACTCTGATTGATGTAAGGTTAGATGCGTTGGTAAGAAGACTAAAAGGGATTCTATTTGATATGACTGATCACCCCAAAACACTTTGTAAAATGGGAGTTATGTTCATTTAAAATTTTCCATTGTATGAACATATATGAAAAACTCGATTGGTAGGAAAGCTCTCAACTCAACTTTATGGTAGAGATTCCTTATGCCCTTAATTTGCATCCAATGAAATTCTCATACTTATGAATTTATCTTAACAACTTATTTTCATAAATTTTTTCAGGTTCATGTCTATCCATATACCTAGAAGGATTCCAAACTTAGCCCGAAAGTCCGAGGCAATAATATCTCAACACACGACTGAAAAGAAAATTCGTACTATCAAATTACAACTCGTACTGAGTCTCTACTGATCCTTCCCTAAAATATTCTCTGAACCCCCTTCCTACCACCCTTATGTACGATCTGTACTATCCTCGTACAAGTCATGGGATCCTGTTGACTTCTTCTAATTTCTCCGGACCTCATGCTATGAGTTGTGGTACGACTCATGCCTTCATGTCATGAGTCGTACTAGGATTCATACTGAGGGAAACTTCAATTTTTTTGTAGTTCATACTCTACATTTGGGGTCTAGTCTTAGAGACTTTTTGGGGTGTTACATTATCTCCTCCTTTGGAACATTTATCATCCAATGGAGACTAAATAATATGAAAAGATAGAAAAGGTGTTGCAATCTCAAATAAACTAAAAATTGAGCATTAAATACTGAAGAAGTGACTGACTCTGAACTGATATACATGGCTAAACTGAATTCATGAATCATACATGCATGCTAGACATGAGAAGAACTAAAAGACATGAAGCTGGCGTGAA